CTATCTCATTGAAGCAGTGGTCAGCTGAGCAAAAGGCCAGAAGGCAAGCAAACCATCTGGAGAAACAGCAAGAGCTTGAGGATTGTGATATTCTCCCCCACAAGTAATGTAACTGGCCAATATATATGTATCATTCTCTGCATTGCCCTGTGGACTGACATGTATGATATGTAATACTATCCCATCCCTCAGTGCATCCCTGTCCCACTTCCCCTGCCCCTCACCCCAAATCCTACCTGCTTCCCCATGCAATTGAGCTCAAAGGCCTTACTCTGTTTCTGCAAAAGGTGGCTTGCAATCTATGATACACCAGCAGCCTTGGTTATCCTGTATGTGACCCACCACAGCTTTGATGGCCGAGATGTCAAGCACTTGCATTGCCATCAACCTTGTGAACACCAGAGCTGTGCCATATGGTGGGGCTTCAGTATCTGCCTTGCAGAACTTTATGAATGCAAGCTCAAGAAGGACACTTTGAATTGGCAAATCAATCAGATGCTGAAGTTGGCCATACAGGATGAATGGTGATAGATGCTTGGGTGATTTGTACTCAAACTAGACAGGTCAGTCATATGTCATTCTATTCTACAAAATGGTACTCACCCATACATAGGTCATGTCTGCTATGGCATGTGCACAGTCCCTGAGCAGCATGCACAGTATCTCCCTTGCAAGAGAGTTGCAACTTGCCCCATTGTGTGACACATTTAGGAAGTGCATCCTTTGCCTCTGTTTTTCCAACATGAAGCACAGCAGAGAGGTATGTGACCAGCTTCTCTTCCAGGGCCTTGCTGAGTTCCTGCTCAGACTTTGGTGCCATTGTATGTTTCAATTCATCTACCTCCCTCCTAGGATCATATTCAATTCCGTGCAGCTTGTACTTCAGCTTCAGTATGTCCCACTGGCAGAGTTGGAGGATGTGTTGGTCGATTCCAGGGTAAGGATTCAAATGTCCTGTCACTGCACATTGTAGCTGACTGCAAAATTGCTCCATAGGAAATGCCCATGTTGTCCAAAGTGGACCAGTCCATTCCATGCAATCTGCTAAGTGCAGCAGTGAATGAACTGTGACCATGCACAGGCCAACACAATCTGTACTGGCCTGGTAGTACAGTTGCTTGTATTGAAGAACCCACTTGGCCAAACGCTTGCGGAGCACAGTTGTGCAGCCAGTGTGATAGAAAAAACCAAGGCAGTCATTGACAAAACAAGACAATTCGACCAAGTGGTGGTAATATGCTTCATTGGTGAACTGCTGCAAGAGGACAACAGGTGCCAATTGGGTAATCCATAGCATATACACTTCTGCTGTGAATGCATGCTGTTTGTTGAGGAGATGTGGGACACATTGGCCAAAGGCACCAGGAATGGTGTTCCCACTTTTGGCAACTTGCTTGGCAATGTTGGTCCAAATTGCATGCAGTAAGGTGAATGCATCCCCTCAACACAGTGTTTGCTCACACCAAGCCAAAGATCAAGGAGGAGGGGTACAACATTCTCAAAAACAAGGTGCATGAAGTCAAGAGGGAATGAGGTTGGCCAGATGATGCTCCCCAAGTGTTGCCAGATGCTGATTCCATTGATTCCAGATGCCTTTGCATGATGCTCTGCTTCAGCATGGCTCTCAGCCTGCATGACTGATTTGGCCTCACAGAGAATCAAGTTGTGTGAGTGAAGAGGGAGATTCAGTGGATCATACTGGGCCGGAGCTGTAGATGAAGAGGAACAAAAGGATTGTTGGTTGAGAGGTATGCCTTTGTGCCCATTTGCATGGGCTGAACTGATATTGCAAAATCTGCATGGCTGGTTTCTGGCATGTCCCTTCATATGCATCAGCTTGGTGACTGCTGGCAGATCCCCAAAGAGCATGATCAGGTGTGCGCACAAGGTAAAGAACTCATGCTTCGAGGCATCATAGGTCCTCATGCCTTTGGTCAGGAGAACGAGCTCTTCTGCCAAGGGGAAGTAGAATGAATCGAGATCTTTGACCATCTTGGGTCCTGGGATGCAACCAATTTGAAGCAAGTTCTTTATGTGTGTCCTGTCTTGCAGTGGCAGGTTGTAGTTGATCAAGATTCTTGGCCAAGCAGTTGTTCTTGGGCCTTTGAAAGGGGCAAAACCATCAGTTGACAAACCTAAGGCTATGTCTCATGGTGTGTCAAAATATTTTGTCTTCAAGGTCTTCCTGTTGACAGAAATATAGCATTTGCACAGTTCATGATACATCCTTCCCTGGAAGATGTCTGTCATCTTGAGTGAGTGGGGATTTTGCTGGGCTTGATATGAAGAAAGGGTAGTTGCTCTTTCCACCTTAGCATATTGAGCTTGAAGCTGAGGAATGATCAGTAGATAATGATATGGCTGTACAGGCTTGCCATTTATCTGTTAGGGCAACACAGGCTGACTAAGTCTGCTCACCTAAGAGTGCCAAGAGTCTAAGCAGGCAACAAGGAAGTGGAGTAGACCTGATGACTAAGACCTATCTACAGTATAGGTACCTGTGGATGATCCTAAGAGACCAAGTCTGAAGA